GTAATGATATTTTATTAGACATCTAGTTTGCAATCTTTTTTTTAACTACCTATGTATGGTTTGTCTATCGTGGATATTAAAATGTACACGATTCCATTACGGAATTATATTGCAGCATACAATATATTAAAAATATTATATATACAGGCTAGTTACATCCTAAATGAATATCAGAATATCAGTGTTGGACGTTGGTTGTTAYTGTTTAACGTTTAACTAATAGTCAATATAATAGGGTTTTTAGAAGATCATGCAACACCAAGAAATATACATTCATTCACAGACCAAAGTGGAAAAGTGTGACAGAGAATTTAATCCTTAGGTTCTCTAAAAATGTAAGCGCTACAGTAGCGTCGCTACTTTCTTAATCTTATAATTATAGGATCATTTTTTGAGCCAGCAATATCATCAAAATATGAAATCTAATATCTTTTTTGATTACATTTTAGTCTAATTATCATATATAATAACTACCATTTTTTTTTTATGTATACCTATTTATAAACGATTCATTAGTTCTTATACCTTATTGACAATGCTGACAGCTCACATGCATTTTGTATTAACAATAAAAAAGTATATGTACATACTAAATTGTATAAGGTTAAGTTATGAATGTTATGATATTATAAGAGTCTAACATTAGGTATTTATAGCCTTATAGGTAGATACCTAACTATTTAATAAGTTGCGGTCTTTACTCTTTATTTTATTATATTGAAAAAAAAACGATATCGTTCGTAATGCTTGTTGCTTGTAGCTTGTGCACCATATTATGGTACGAAAGTAGGYAAATAATATAAAATAACAAAATGTAGACAATTGCAGTATAACGTCGAATGGAATATAATTATTTTCACTGTTTTCAATTTACAAAATTATAACCAATATACATTTTTATGAACTTTAATTTCTTCAACTGTGGTAATAACTAATACCTAATTGAGGTTAATTAAAAGAAGTCAGCGGGTTAACTGTATAACTTACTGTATACATATAGCATATAACATTGTGTAACGTATCATAATATAATACATTAATATCTGCGTGTCTTTTTTTATTTTAAGCAATGAAAAAAAAATGAATTTTCATATTTTTATCTACTCTATAAATTATACCTTCGTGGCTTCAAATACCTATAGATCAAAATGACTTATAAAGTTATAACAGTTATGTAATAATTTATGTACACAGTAAGTGGTAGATACTAGCCTTCGACCTTTATTCTAAAGGTGGTACTTCTGAATCGTCGATGAAATCATTAAGTTTTTCGTTTTCCACTTTTTTTACGCTTGTCGGTGAATTGGTTATATTCCAAAATTCCACTTGCTTTTGGCTATCAAGTACGTCATCCGTTAGTTTAGATTTACTAAAAAAGTTGAACACATTTTTTATTAAAATTCGATATCTATAATATTAAATCYAATGCAAGATTTACGTGCACTACTTGTCAAAATCAAAATCAAATGACAACTATTTAATAAAATAAYACCATCATTTATCTATACTGACTATACTATTCAATACCGTGTTGTATATCGTACAGTATTCATAATAGATACCTACAGTAAACTCRTTTATCCGAAAGAATAAAAATATGTACTAGAATATTTATGTAGTATAAAAATTGTAACGAGAAATCGTGCCAACACAATAGTAATTGCGACAATAACGTTTGAAGCATGCACACACGCTGCGAGTAGGGATGGCCGTCGCCGAGTTGACAGCCGACCAGTAGCCAGTACACTTCCGAGTGTCTGCCATCACTTTAAAAATGCATGTGGCCGCAGCAGATTAGTATTTTAAAACATCAAAGTAAAATAAAATAAATATTTATATCATTACATGAACCAGCTACAACGATCATCTTAGAACACATACAACAATGTGAGCAATGTAATATTCCCAAATATACAAGCAGAACAAACGATGAAAAAATAATCATCGCAAAACATCCACCTACCACCAAGGCCCTGGCTCGAAGTTACGAAACATAAGATTTAATMTTACATGCCAGCGATCACCTGATGTAATTGTTTTTAAAATATAGTCTCCGTTAATGCCATAGTCATAAAACGGTATAGCACATCGAGTCCGTTCGTTTAGTGCAGTCGCGTCTCCTTTACTAAAAGTCTAAAACACGTTTCTCTCTTTCTYTCTCTATCTCTGTTCGAGAATACGATTCGTTCATACATCATACTAAAACTCCCTGTGGCAAGTGTTACACATAGTACAGCCACAAACACTGTCAAAGTTTTAAGTTACCGCTATCAACGTACAGTTGTAAATTAGCTCCATAGACCACATTACTGCTACATAATACACCTCTGCGGCTCTGCATAATGTATAATACCAGACGATCCATGCCACCATATCATTATATCTACTATTCCGAGTTGGTCATATATACATCGATGCACGATGCCAACAACTGTATTCCTGAACTGTAGCCGATCGGAACCCGAAATAGTAAAAAAAAAAATCTCTAAACACTATCAGGGTATTTGAGAGCCATACAGAATCGTTACTGGAAAGTGCCAGTCGAAAAAAAAAACAAAGATAAAACAACATAAATCATAGCAATGACAATAATCGTACATTCAACAGCTGGAACCACAGTGRCTCAGTGGCCACTGAGAGAAGACAACAACAGCCCSCACTACCAGAACGACGAGATGATGGTAGAAACATACAAAAAAATACCCAGGTCAGTGGTTGAAGATAATATTATAAGACAAGAAGAATTAGTTGAAGAATGTATTAACAGTCAAGTGACACGTACAATTGATCGTATACCCACGAATAATAAGTCAGTTATAGTACTCGTATGTACAGTAGGTAGGTACAGTGCAAAATTGCASGAGAATTGATGCAATTATTGCAGATAGATATCGGAGCTATATTTATCGCATTAATTAAAGAAATAGAAGATGAAAATATTTTTAAAAATAGCAGTATTCATACACTACATGTTAGCGGAATATAAATCAGCAATGCGATACCTATAGGAAAAAAAATTTACAAAATATGCCAAAAAGTATTCTGTAAGTGTACAATACGATCAATAATCCTTATAATCCTATATGATAACTTCATACAAATACAACATTCTAATGAAAGAGGCATCATAGGAACAGATGTACTCAACAAGTACAACACACAGATAAACTTCATGACCAAATCATCAAGTGGAACGTGGAACACTCAACGTCGTTTGCAAACATATAGCTCCAAAGCTCTTTCAAGAATAGTCATAAAGGGAAATTCAAATCAACCAGGAGGATGAAATCGGCGTAACTATAGACATTTAAACAATGGGGTGCTGAGACTCCAGGTTTTTGTGATTTAATGGGAACTAACTTTTTAAACAATTTTTTAAGGTGCTACTTTTGACTAAGAGCTAAAGATTCAAAGCACACCCCTCCCCCATCTTGGTTTTCCAACGGAGGAAGAAGTAAAAATTGAGAAAACTCAACCAGAAGAAAAATCAACAAGTGCAGAAAACAAAAAAAAAAAAATTGCGCTACAGATAAGCCAATTCAAGAGGATAAAACAGAAAATTGGGCATATCAAAAGAGGATTGCCCGAAAGGTTAAAATAGGACTCAAAGAGTAAACATCATATAAGAAAAATCAAAAAACCACACACATACATGATATAACTGTACAAATTTATCAGTTGAGAAGAACAAAACAGAGAATTTTAGATTTGATTTTGATWTTGATWTTAATTCATRTTTATTTTTCAAAATCTCAAAAAAAATCTTATCAAAGAGGAGTATAACGAAAAATCGTGCCACTAGTTTGCACTACAATAATAATCTCCGTAATCCGTGTATTATAATATTACTAAAAAAAAAAAGCGGGTAAGTCGTGGATGTCGCTCTRCTGTACTGTAGGTTACTGTAATGGATCAATGGATGGGATTAAATTTGAATGCAATGATAGGTATCATTGAGAAAATTTTTTATGAATTTCTAGCTTATAATAATTTGCGAATTTTCGTGATTTTTACGTAT